ACACTTGAATGCTTGTAGCTTTTAGAGAAATCTTAGCGTTTGATTCACGAGCTCCCTCTTGATTCTTGTTATAACTTCTGGTGTCTTCTTTGAGTTATGCAGACCCCTATTATAGTTGTGGAAGGGAAGAGTTGTGATGAGAACAAATTCTTTCCGACAAATCAGATTAAAGCGTGACAAGGCCGCATTTGATTGGCCATGATATGTCACTTGTACATATGGCGTGATTTCACTGGCCTTTTAATTTGACTTGGCATGCCTTGTCATTTTGGCATGTGGCACGATCCTATTGGCTTTTCCGTTTGACTTGACGCGCCACGTCATTTGACACGTGGTGCCAAACTGGACCTCTAAGAAGATGTCATCTTGGGCTTAATGAAGTGGACTTATCACTTTAGCCCAATTAAATGGGCTAACCCAATGGATTAAAACTTATTTATTTAGTCTATATATATTGGACTTGTATAATTAATTCAATTATATTAGCCCACAATATTTATTTGGACAAATATATTTAACATATAGTCCAAATTATTTTATTGGATTTAATTCCGATAAAGTTTATATGCCTACAATTTGCTCTAAAACTTAAAGTGTGGCTATGTATTATAATTATTTTAAAGTATATTTATCATAATAAATATAGTGTATAAGTTAGTTATGGGAGTGTAAATTTCCCTTTAATTAATGATCCAGATAAGCTAATTTGGGTCCAGCTTGATTTGGAGTATTAAAGCAATTTATAATTATGTAAGATAGTGATTATTTACTCATTTATTACGATGATAACATTTTGGAGAAATACTTTATTATTAGTACTAATAATGATAATGATTTTGATTTTGTATATTGATTGACTAATCACTTATCACGCTTGAGTTAATTCAATTGAAAGTTTTGATTAAATAAGCCAGAAAGACATGCAAGTGGACATTAGACGGTAAACGGTGTATTAGTAATTGGCAACTGTTGCACTTTTGGTACAATAATAAAATAAATTAATTGGGATGTTGAAAATCATTTTAATAAAGTATAATTAATTTCGAGTAAGATAAAGTAGTGACAATTGAGGGATTAATTAATACCACTTCATTTACTCACTCATAAATGGTTAGCATATGAGCATGCTATTTCGTTTTTCACAAACTTATAAGAAGTAGTACTAGTATTTTCCTAACCATTTTAACTTAAATTTTAAAAAGAAAAAGAAATTTCTCAAGTTTCCTTTATCTTTTTTGGTGAGAGAAATTTCTCAAATTTCAACATCACGCTAAAAGTCAAAAGGTTAAGAAACCAAAGATGGATACTTTCTATACTTTCTGATAAACTTAAATTATATATATTAATAAATAATAACTTTTGTAATATTATTTGTATAATTTAACTTGCCATATTACGTTAGTTTTTAAATAATGTTAAATTTATTTTATTCAATTTTATTTTAAATGATTTTATTATATAAATAAATTTTTTACGTCGTCTCAATATATACATTTTTACAATTTTTTAACTTTTAATCGCTCAATCAAAATTATTTATAATCCCTATATATATTGTACATCTTCGGATTATATTTTGGATGAGTGACAATGTAAGTTAATTTCTCATTATGAAATAATATCAAACTAATGGGTTTTCTTAAAAGAAAAAAAAAAAGGAAAGAAAAATCATTACTACAGTAAATTACATAAAATATATTGTGAGATCGTGCAAAAGCCACCATTTCCTTGGTTCGAATTGTCAGACAGAGAAAGAGAGAGGTGACAGCGAAGACTATGAGAGCAGAGCCTTCAAACAACACAACAGCTGCGAAGAACCGATCGATTAGATTTTTTATCTTTTCAGGTTTTAGCCTTTTCTACTACTACTTATTTTCTCAAGTTATGAGTTAAAAGTTTGACAAAAATTGCTAAAGCTTTATTCGTTGAATTTTTGCATTTATATTTATTTTCCTAGAATTTTGGTAAATCAGACACCCTTTCGGAATCTAGTATCTGGGTCTATCTTAGTTTTTGATTTGGTTTTTGAAATTTTGGGTTGCAGCTGACTAAATTTGATTCATTTTTGAAGAGTTTGAAACAAATTTGCTGGCATTAGAATCTCAATAACACTGGCGATATGATGTGGGGTTGGGGACAATGAGTTGAAGACTTACTATAATGATGGTTTAGGATGGAGGATTACAAATTTTGGAGCAGACTGAGTTTATTTGTTTGACTGGAGCTCTTTTTGTTTGGTTAGAGATTGTATGAGAGAGTAGGGATAGTTGTGAGATTTAGTGAAGCCCTTGTTTTTATGTTTTGTTTTGATGATGGTAGAGATTGAGCCAGTCTGCGCGTACCTCGACTATTTCACTCGATACTTACTACCTCCCGCCAGAACACGTACGAATAACTTTGCCCGTCCAGGCTTAGGCAGATGTGAAGATGAATTTTGAACTTGAGACTTCAAGGTTCTCCTCCCACTTCATGAACACTAGGCCACACCCTTGGGTGTTGTGAAGCCCTTGTTTTAGAGAACCTCCTTGGACAAATTATTGAGTAGTGGGATGAAGCTGGTGAAATGCAATTGAATGGATATAGAGGATAAATATAGCCGATCCAAACTATTATGTGGTTAAGGTGTAATGAAGAATCTGAAACTGAGTTGCTGCTTTTGAATTCAATAGTAGTGGTTAGTTGATGTGAGGTTGGGGTCGATGAGATTAGGACTTGGAAGCTTGTTGCATATAACTATAATTAGATAGCCAATGAGGGGATTTCATTGGAAACTAGAAAGAGCAAGGAGAAGATGCAATGGTAGACTTGACTTATTGAAAACAGAAGAATAAGAAGCTTCGGCACACTTAATTGTTTAAGATTTACTGTTAGAATTGACGCTTTGAGGTTTTTGCGAGGTTAAATTAGAATTGATTTCTCTGATTAATATAACTGATTCGTAGTGAACATACTGCTGAAGTTTTCCAAAGGCTTATATCATATGTGTTAAAAAGCTTACCGAAGCTTCAAGTGGCTTTAGCTTATTTCCCTAGATCCAATTATAAAGCCACTATAGACGTACATGCTATCCTCTAAGATTGACTATCAGTCATCTCAAGTCCATTTTTCCTAAAACAATCTTTCAATAGGTATCAAAATCGAGGCCCCCAAGGGTTAGCTCAATTGGAGAAGCACAAATTCGAGCCACTAACTCTAGTATTTGAGGAGAAAGGTAGAGGGGCGGGCTCATCATCCCCAAGTTTCGGAGGCTGGTGTTGGCCAAAAGGTTGGCTCCAGACGGATTTCTCGGTCACAAAAAAAGTATCAAATTCCGATTGAAAAATAATGTGAAAATTGAAAACGAATGGGAAAGATATTAATAAACAACAACAACAATAACTATGACTCAATCCCAAACAAGTTGGGATCGGCCGTATGAATCCTCACTTTCCACGTTACTCTATTTAAGCTCATCTCATGCCAATTATGTAAATACAGATGAAAAGTATTAGAAGTTTTCTATATTTTCTAAATGTATGAATCTCTAGAAAGCATAAGACCTACAATAAAATTGCTTTGTAACTATTAGGTATTGCCCGTATAAATCTTTTTCTTCTATTGTGCCCTATCTTTGGCTGGAAATTTTAGGTCCTCCGAGACAACTTCCTTCCGTGTAATAGGTCTACCCCGTCCGCTTTAACATCTTCACTCTCCATGGTTTCACACCTACATACCGGTGTAAGGAAAGAACTTAATCATTGTCCAATAAATTTACAGAAAAGAAGATTGCTGCTTGGATATTAAACAAACTTATGAACCATGCAAGTACCTCTGCGACAATAAGAGCAATATTAGGAGACATGAACATATAGATAAATTTTTTCCTGATTGTTTAGTGGTTGCATTATTTACTCCAACTTCAAAGTAACAGTCTCTTAACAGATATGAAACTTTTTGTCTCCATTTACTGGTTGATGGACATATGATATTAGTTCCATACGCATCTTGACCACAGATTATCATAAACGATGAAATCAGGAAAGAAATGAAAAAATAAAAGAAGACTAAATAATTATACTGGAACTCCAGATATCTCTAAAAATATATTGCAGAATTGAAATACTTTAACACAATTAATATGACATTTCACATTCAAGCATTGGGCATCGGGCTCTTGGGGTTTGAATCAAACTCTATCAGTGTTATAAATGGCACTCGCTACAGCGCTAAAAGCGTGTAGCGACGCGAGGCGAGACAGTGTTGCCATTTCTGGGCTATTGCGTTGCGAAGAAGAAAAGCGAGCGCCTCTGCCTTTGTAGCGAGAGGCGCTGCGATGCGAGAAGCGATTTGAGGCGTCGCTATTTGATAATAACGAAAGAAAAGGCATCGGTTTATGCTAAAACAACAAAATTAGGGCTTGGGTGAAATCACTTCTTACGAGCAGCGACCCCTTCTTCTCCAGTTCTCCTTCAGCGCCAAAATTAGGGCTTGGGTTCACATCTTCTTCTTCTTCCATCGTCAGCCATCAGCGACCCCTTCTTCACCGGGTATGTTTCTTTCTTTTCTTCTTCTTCTCCTTTCTTCTTCTACTTTCTTCTTCTTCTGGTCGACCACCATTGCTGTTCTTCTTTTTTCTTTTTTTTCTTCTTTCTTCAGTGATCGCTGTTTTTCTTCTTCTTTCAGCTCTGTTTTTCTTTCTTCCATCATCTCTTTCAGCTCTGTTTTTCTTCTTCTTTCTTTGCTCTGTTTTTGGGTTCTTTGCTCTGTTTTTTCCATCATCTCTTTCAGCTCTGTTTTTTCAATTTGTTGCTCTGTTTTTCAAAATCGAGCAGAGGCAGTAGCTTTATTTTTTTTTTGTTGCTTTGTTTTTCAAAATCGAGCAGAGGCAGTAGTCTATGACTATCTATTGAGTCTTTAATTTTTGAATGATATATTTATTAATATATTATTGTTATTGAGTTTTTAGTTATATGTATATAATATTTTATGTTTTTGTATAAACTGTCGCTTCACATCAAAAAGGCGAGCGCTTCGCTGCGCGCCTCTCACCTCAGTGAAGCGGCCCTCGTCGCTATTTGTCCGCACGCTATCCAAAACACTGACTCTACCTGGCAATCCCTCTGAGAGCCCTCTTTATGGTGAAATCGTCTCAGTCCAGCTGGATTGATGAATGAGCATCTGTTGCAATAAACCTGTTCAGGTGAAACTTGCCTTTGTTGCCAATCCCAATGATAATGAATTTGTTTGTATATCTGCAGGCTATCTATGGTAATCATTTATTTGTCTGTCTTTCATACCTGGAAGTTTTATTTTCATATTGGGTGATGGTGCAAATTGCTTTGGTATTTATTGATTTCCTCATTTTCAATCAGTAAGCAGAAGATTTCATTACTATAACTTGCCAAGCACTAAGATAGTGCTAGGCATTAGGAAAAGCAACTGATTCCAAGATTATAATGCCTCATTGCCTGTAAGCTACTGATGAACTCTTATCATTTTCCCCACATCATAAATATTAGACAGATTACATCAGAATGTTATTAGTTTATATAAGCATCTATGTTAAGGCATGCATCGGTGATGCTTTCCCCTCAGACATCTGGTTCCACTCTTTTCAAATTGTCCAAATACACATGCTATAATTGTTCTCCACATTTTCTTCAAGAGTTCAAGATTGATTGTTTGATAATCCTGGATTCATTATTGCATTCATTCGAATAGAGAGACCTGTCAGTTCTTGATGCTGCTCCTAAATCATCACTTTTTACCCATGAACATGTGCGGAAACAGGTCTGCCTCAAGGTTATGAAAAAGTAGTGCCTTGGATTAGGCTTGAAGTTATTTGCAATTGGTGCCATGTTGATGTGTCACAGAAGGCTAGATGAGAATGCGGCGGCATAATGTTCATTATGGGGTGATCTAGGCTTTGTGCTCCTTAATCGCAATGCATGAGTTTGTATTGGGTAGTCGTGAACATTTCTCTGTGCTTATATTTTTTGATCAGTATACTCTTAGATCTCATTCCACATTCATGTCATAAAATAAGTCAGCATTAGATTAGGAAAAGATGGGGCTTTATTGGATTAAGCTTATTTGCAGTTATAGCCATTTTGTTGTGTCCATAAAGGATAGAAGAGAAAGTAGGAAGGGCGGTGTTCATTGTGGGTCTTTTGTACTTTGCGGTCGTTAAATGAAGCCACTGGACTTGCACTGTGATATTTGGTACTATTACCTTCCAATTTGAATTCCCATTAGGACCTTGTCTGTACTAACTGGTAAAGCATCTGGCATCTGCTATCATCTAATTAGTTCTAACTTTTATGGGCAATTTTTTTTGATATGTAATGTTATGTGTTATTGATATATGTCAATATAAAGAAAATGCTGAGGGTAGTACGCCCAAAACGGGATCATTACGGAATCTTCAGCCTCTAACAAATTTTCATGGGCACTTTTGAACATATTATCGTGTTCTTTCATGAATTCGTTGCTTCCAAGTCCCAATACTTCAATGGCTATCGTTTCTTTTTGGCATTTGCTTAATTTTTTTGTTATCCCTTAGGACTGGCATGGATTTTGCCAATGGTGGCGAAGATCCTGCAATACTGCAGCTGCAGAAATGGGGGTCCTCGCAAGTCCAAGTCAACCTGTCAGACTTCTGTGAAGGTTTTATTTCTCCAAGACGGGAGTTATTAGCTCTGCTTTCATATCATTGTGAAGCTTTACTGCTTCCATTGGGTAAAGGTGAATATTTTTAATTCACCTGTCAGTTCAGCAATAAATATTTTATATTTACCTCTAAAAGGTTCCTGTTTGCTGCAGGTAAAAGTATTAATGATCCACAAATCTCTAAGAATTTTCGGAATGCGGATACTTTGTCTTCCTGCTCAGTGGAGTGCATGGTACTCGGTAAAACAGAGTTAGGGAATGACTGTGAGAGCACTTCTCAGTCAATTGAGAGAAAGCCGTGCAACATAAATACAGCGACAGTGGATTTTGAAAGATCAAACTCTTTCCCTTCTATTTCTGATGTAAAAACTGTGGCTTGGGGTATATGCGAAGATTTATGTAGTCAGCATGACAGTGTTCCTTTCAAAGAACTGCTTTTCGTGTTAGGCCATGAGGGGGTAACTGTCCATGCCTTTTGTCATTCTTATATGACGAGTGAGTCAATAACACCCACAGAACAAGATGATGTAGGTCAAGGGCTATGGGTGGATTGGGGGCCGTCAACAGCCTCAGCTCAACCAGCTGGAGCTCTGTATGACTCTACCGCCCAGTCCAATGAGTCCCTGGAGGTCAGTGACATGAACGGGTCTAGTCCAACTGGGGAAAGAGCTAATAGCTGTTCTATGGAGGGTAAAAAGGAGGTGTCATCTGAGAGTGCTGGAGTAAAAAGATGGCTGCGTACTTTTTTGACTGAAGTTAAAACAATGAATTCTGATGGAAAAGTGTATACAAAATTCCCAGATAAATCATCAGTTCCTTCATCTGCTTCAGTTGTCTCATTTAGTAATTTTCTCAGCTGTCCACAGCTTTTGGAATTTCTATTTGATGGTTGTCCTATATCACATNCTAATAGCTGTTCTATGGAGGGTATAAAGGAGGTGTCATCTGAGAGTGCTGGAGTAAAAAGATGGCTGCGTACTTTTTTGACTGAAGTTAAAACAATGAATTCTGATGGAAAAGTGTATACAAAGTTCCCAGATAAATCATCAGTTCCTTCATCTGCTTCAGTTGTCTCATTTAGTAATTTTCTCAGCTGTCCACAGCTTTTGGAATTTTTATTTGATGGTTGTCCTATATCACATGACAAACAGAATGGTAATATCTCAGCCGAAGATCCTACAGAAAGTATATGTACAGATTCCACACAGATGTCCCCTGATGCTCTAGTTGATCAGATGAGCACCTCTTACAAATGTTTCAGTGTGTTCTCTAATGATGCACAATGCTTGATTGGGTTTGCCTTAAATACAAATAAAAATGTTAAAACTAACACAACAAATATAGATGATGGAACGTGCGTTTTAGTTGCAGTGGCCAGGTTAATTGATTGGGGAATGCAGTGGGTTTGCTCGGTGAAAGTGGGCAAATGCCCTGAGGGTAGGTCAGCAATTGAGTGGCCAGAGTTTAGGTTTTCTCATGCTTTTCTTATTTGTCTTAATGTTACTGGCTTAGTCTCCTTTTACGTTGCATTAACCGGTGAACATATAGCATGTATAGATCTGTTAAATGTGTGTGGAGTTTCTCCTTCCTTAGTATCTCAAGAACAAAAGAATTCATCTCTGAAGATTAGAGAAAGTCGTATTGAAGAGAAGAAATGTGGTCAGTTCATCAATCAGGAGGGAGATTATGTTGGTAGAAGAAGGTTCAAAAGGATTTTTGTCATTTCCCATTCCTTGACTTTTTGTGTGATCGATGAATATGGTTTAACATATGTAATAAATGTGGATGACCATATCCCAAAGAAGTACTGTTCACTTGAGAAATTACACCCTCAGTATCAACAGTTGGGTAATGAAATGTTGGCTGCTTGGGAGGTAGGTTCCGCTGAAATTGGCTATCAAAGGGTCTTTTCTGATTTTTTCGGTGGGAAGGAACAAAGTAACTCATCCATTATTAGAGAGTCTTCTTTTACTGCTAATACACACGGGGAAAGGAAGTATGGCTCATATGGGAGTAGCCTATCTGATGCTACCGATGTAAATAAGAATAGGATTTTTGGTAGTAGATCACATTCATGCCATAGCAGAAAAGTTTTCATTGGTATAGATGGATCCAAAGAAGATGCTGTTGTTTGTTTTTCTCCTTTTGGGCTCACTCGGCTAGTGAAGAAAAAATATTCTGAGGGAAATGTCAAGTGTCAACTTGTTCATTCCAGTTTACATGTAAACTTGACTGTAAATGATGACAGCTGCTATAACATTCAAGTTTGGGATGCTATAGTTGACGAAGCTATAGGTTGTAGTTTTCATGGTTCTTTATATTTGGTCACAAAGGACGGTATTGCTGTAGTTCTGCCTCGTCTTTCACTTCCTTCGAATTTCTATCCTGTCGAAGCAATTGGATACCAACAATCTTGTTATAGTGCTGGCTCAAATTATGGGATGCATAAGCTTCATGAATTTGAAAGCACAAAAAGACGTTTTTCTCCATGGAAAGTGGAGGTCTTGGATAAGGCTCTCTTGTATGATGGGCCTGAAGTGGCAGATCAATTATGCTTGGAAAATGGTAATTTGTTGAGCTGAAATACACCCTTTTACCTTCACATTTTTCTCCCCATGAAGTTAAATAATTCCAGATTAAATTATAAATATGTTCTGTTAGAGTTTGTTTGGCCTAATTGTCTGTGTCCTACTTTGTTACTTTGTGCTGCACTGCTGCTTGAGTTTTACAGTTTTTGCACATGCTTTCGTTGTAAATATATGAAGATTATCTTGCTCTTGTTAGCATCTTTCTTTCAGGCACTGGGTTTTTTGTGCTTTGTGACTTCTTGACGGAAGTTTCTTGTTTAAAATTCCTCTAGGAGAAATAATTTAAATGATCTTACTCTTGTTAGATTATTCCTTTTAGTGATGGGCTTTAAAGTTGCTCTAGTAGAAATAATTAAAATTATTTTACTCTTGTTAGATTTTGACAGAAGTTTCTTGTCTAAAATTGCTCTTGTAGTCTAGCTTTCTGTCAGTGGTACTCTTTCTGAAACAACCTTTGGGAGTTGGCAGTTGAGTTATTGCAGAATATGAGATTGTGTTAGTATGATCTAAGCAGTGTTGTTAAAGGCTCACTTGAGTCGTACTTAAACCCTGAAGTTTGGTGCTGCGCGGACTGGCGTTTTGTCTTTGCTTAAACGGTGCTAAAACACAGGCATCAAAGAACTAAGGCATGTGCAACATCTCTCTTGGGCTCCATCATGAAAAGAGCAACACTAAACAACAAAGGCAGTTCATTTATATTGCTTAGCTGTTAAGAAAACCGGGTGAATAAATATTTTAGTGACTAGGCATAGGAAATTAAAAATTTAGTGTTAGAGAAGTCATAACTAAATTCTAATTTCTTTGGTTTAGTTATCTTACTCATCAATTTAATAACTACTGATGTTTCTTTTACTTTAGTTAGCTTTACTGTTTTTACTGTCATTACATTTCTGTTCTATGGTATTTTCATCATAGCTTTTTTACTCTTGTATTTTTCAAACCTGTTTTGAAAAAAACGTTTTTCTTGAGCGTGGGTCTATCGGAAACAAGCTCTCTACTCCACAAAGGTAGGGGTAACGTCTGCGTACACCCGCCCCTCCCCAGACTCCACCCGTGGGATCACACTGGGTGTGTTGTTGAAAATAGTTTTCTAGCACTGATATGTAATAACTTTTTCTCTAAAATGAATGTTGCCTAGTTTTATTGAATTTTAGAAGTTGTTAATCTTGGGAGAGCCTCTCTAAACCTGCCTCAAGACTTCAGGGTGCGGTAGCTGCATTAGAGAAAGCAGGCTTATTGCACTAATTTGTGTGACTTCTCTTGACTAAAAAATCTGAGATATTGAAAGAAAAGATCTAATTTTCAAGATTCCTTCTGGTGCTTCACCTGTGGAAACATTTCATTATTTCAAAAATCTAAGATAGTGAAATTTTTAGAGTACTTGTCTCTACTTCAAGGCAGTAATGCTTTGTGTCAAGGTTTTCTTTCCAGTTTTCGTATTCTTTTCCAAGTTGAAACTACTAGGATATTTTGTGGAGTGTGACTATCGTATTGCAATAATCACTGGATAGCATAGGTCTAGCTCTTTCATCTGCACTTTATGGTGCTAGTGTTTGTTGTCGAATCGAGTTCTTTAATTACCAGAGAATATATTTGTGCATAAGTATTCTAGGAACAATATGTTCTTGTACTGCACAGACTAACTCATGCCCCAACAAAAACCAGCTGATTTTGGCTAAGAACCTTTTTCTTTTCCTGGAAAAGAAGAAAAAGTTGATATGCAGGAAGTGTGATGTTCTTTCGCAAATTTTGCAGGATGGGACTTGAGTGTTACGCGGATTCGGCACTTGCAGCTGGCATTGGAATACCTAAAATTCGAGGAGATTGAAAAGTAAGTTTGAGTAGCTTATTGTGAACCTAATTATTACAATGGCTTTAAAAATGATAGACTTAAAAGGGGGTTTTCATTGGCTGGGAGGAATCAAATAATGTTAAAAAGAAAGGAAAAAAAAAATCAAAATTTGACATTTGTCATCTAAATAAGGATTGTAAACGCGCTTATACTTTTTGTTAAGCACGCGCTTGCCACGTTGCAAAAGAAGTGTGTCTTAGACACATTTTAGAAAGGTTGAGTGTGTAAAGTGATTTTCGTCCGCAAAAAGTGTGTAACAAGTATTTGGTTCATAGTTCAGGTGGTACCTAAGGAAAGAGATAAAAGAGATTCCTACAAACCTGCTATCTATATATGGATTATGTACACTATTAAGAAAGAGTCTACGTTCATTATGTAAAGCGTCTAGGTTCATTCAGTAACAGAGATCTTTGTGGAGGTTTTGTTGATGTAATATGTAGTTTGCATGACTTGATGGGAGTCAGAATTATAGTGAGTAAGGGAGAAGGTTTCCTGTTTCAATGGTAGTGAATGATGGGGATATGGNGATGAATAGCCGCTAACGGCTAAAGTGGATATGGTCGACGGGGGCTCTGAATTGGTGAAGGGAAGAAGGTTTAAAGGGGGATGGGGTGGATGGACGTAAATACCCATGGATCTTGGTTTAGACTCGTACTCTGAAACATAGCTGTATCTCTCTTTTTTGGCATTTTGGTGTAGACTAGAAGATGTCAGCGATGTTGCGCGGACTCTCCAAAATGTTGCCGCACCCGTGTCGGATACTCCAAAAATACACTACTTTTGCAGTATCCGACACGCACCCGGCAATATTTTCGGAGAGTCCGAGCAACATAGGATGTCAGCACACTGGATAGAATGTTAGACTTCCACAGCTTCCCACAGTAATGTAAAGGAACTGAGTTTGTATATAATATTTGGCACTATCTTCCTAATTCTTGTTTAGAGGTTTGCTCTGCTGCCTTTTGGTTTGGCTTCCTCTTTATTTTAATTTTCTTCTGGTTAACTATGATGTGTTTTGCTAATCGGAGAAAACCAGTTACAAGTTGATTGAGTGACAAAGGGGCATCACAAAATTAATTTTACTAATCAATAGAATAGCACTTTAAGAAGGGGAGCCTTGACGTAACTGGTAAAGTTGTTGCGATGTGACCAGGAGGTCACGGGTTCGAGTCGTGGAAACAGCCTCTTGCAGAAATGCAGGATAAGACTGCGTACAATAGACCCTTTTTTGGTCCGGCCTGCACCTCGTACCCCGCGCATAGCGGGAGCTTGGTGCACCGGACTGCCCTAATAGAATAGTACTTTAAATATAAAAAACGTGGGTCTTCGACTATCCTGCTTTATATGCACCTGTTGCTTTACCTGACTTTTCTTTATGATATGTAAGCCAAGAAAAATGGTAATAACAAAAAGGACATATTACTGACTAGGGCACCAAGACCAATAGGTAACGAGAATATTAACTTGGGCACCACTCGTTTGGACCAGCTATACAAGAGAGACAGAGACTGAAAGACACTTAAAGAAAAGCTTAGCTATACTACCTCAAAGTCTAAAGTATTAAGGAACACCAATAATACTGCTTTGTCTCAGATTCGGCTCACAAAATTATTGGATAAACGAAACTGGATGTGAATTGGTTTTTGGTTTAGTAGTTTACTGTCATTTCATCTCTAAAACATCAGTTCCAGGTTTGTGCCTCCGGAGGATTTTTAGAGACATGGCATGTTATAACATCTTATGTTTGTCTATCAGGTCTTTAGAAATGCTTACTCATGTCAATTTGGCTGAAGAAGGCATCTTGAGGATGCTCCTTGCTGTTGTTTATCTGATGTCCTGCAAAGTTGGTAATGATAACGAGGTCTCCGCTGCATCAAGGTATGCAGTCTTCTAGGTGTGTTATTTTATGTAATGTTCTGAAATTCTTCTCCTTGAGTGTTTTTCTATGTTTACTTAATTTGTCATCTGTGATTCTTAAATTCGATAATTATCCTTTCTTTTAAGCTTTGCTAGATGGGCTCTCTGGCCATGTTGTCAAACAGGAAAGCGTTGAAAAGCGTCAAAGTTTGTTTGGGCTTTAAATTCAAATTGCAATTAAACCATGTGCTTTATGAAAAAAGGCTCAAATGGAAAAAATAAATACGTAAAATAACTATAACACAACAGCAATTTATAAACAAAATAATTAGAAAAAAACCTACAATAGACGAAAAGCAAAGAGGTATAAATTATGTCTATCAAAATTAAAGAAGACCTTTTATATTTCTAATTCAGCCCAACTAGCTAGGGGTTGAGGCCTAGTAGTAGTATATTTGCCGCAGTTTTTAATTTGTCATAAATTGTGTGCTTCACTTCAGGGGTGCACTTCTCTTCTCGCTTTTCGTTTCAAGTCCCATGGACCTATTCGCTTTTTTGCACTTTTCGCTTTTCAAACACTAGGCTACTCATGTCATAAATGCACTTTTTTGGTTTTGAAAGTTATTGATTAACTAACGGATACATACACCCATTAAGGAATCCCAAAGTTAGCAAGTGACGTACTATTGAATTTTACCATATCAATCTAGGATTGCATGGACGACCCCATATATGAATTTAAATTGTTCTATTAGTAAGAGGGGAAAAAGGACTAAACAGGCACGTGCTTGATCTCTGGCCAAGTACGCAGATATATTTCTGTTGACTGTTGCATTGTGATTGTTGCCAATACCTTTGCTTGCTCTGATATCAAGTTAAATTGTGTGAAAGGCTCATCTGGAACTAGCTTAAGCTGTTACTGAGGGAATACAACAGTCACTTCATCATTTCTAATGGTGGTATAGTCATTAGTTGTTATAAAGCTTGGTTGAACTATATTATGGTACTACTGAGATAATATTCTTAGTTATGTATATGTGGTTTGTTTATAATGGTTGAGTAAGATAACTCATTGCTTATTTTTGTGACATCTTTGTTATTTTCTGAGTTCACTTAGAGTTCTCTTTCTTATGCTTAGATCTTGATACAGGCTTCTTGCTTTAGGAACTGGCTTTGCCACCAAGATGATACGGGAATATGGTTTATTGCAGCAAAATTCTTTTCTTTCTTCAGAGTTGATAGATAGTAGACCTGATGAAACAGGAGATCTAGAAAGGCTTCAGAAGATGGCTCACTTTCTGGAGATCATACGGAATCTGCAGTGGCGACTCACGTACAAATGCAAAAGGCTAGGCCAAGAATTGGTATTTTGTCCGGTCCTCCAAAGTTCATTGTAATCAGCTGCTTGATATTGATACGTATTACATCTCCTTTTATTTCATGGTCTAGGTGGATCAAGGTGACGCCGTAGGTGAGACAGATTTGTTGCAGGACGAGTCCAGGATTCTAGATGTTTCTGCTGATGTCTTATCTCTGGAGGCATCAAACCAAAAAGGTCTGATTCCTGCTTCTGAGATGGAGAGAAACAATGGTGAAGCCCTTGCTTTGATGCCCGTGGATGCATTTGATTCCAAAAACATTTCTGCTTTGGGCACGTTTGAGGAACCATCTTTAATATCTGAAAGAAATTCTGTGAAGAGAGTTTTTTCCGTAGAAAATCCAAAGGATATGATTGCACGGTGGGAGATTGATAATTTGGATGTGAAAACAGTTGTCAAAGACGCTATACTTTCTGGTCGTCTTCCTCTGGCTGTTCTTAAGCTGCATCTTCATCGTTCAAGAGATTTAATGTCAGATCAGGAAAATCAGGATACATTCAACGAAGTTCGCGAAGTTGGAAGAGCTATTGCTTATGACTTGTTCCTGAAGGTAGGTCTTTTCCTAATGTTCATTTAAAAAAATATTGTATGTCTAATGAGTTAGCTACCGTTCATGATCAGGGTGAGACTGGACTTGCTGTAGCAACACTTCAAAGGCTGGGGGAAGACATTGAAACCAGCCTTAAACAGTTGGTTTTCGGTACTGTTCGGAGATCTCTACGGATGCGAATTGTTGAAGTCATGAAAGGACTCGGGTATCTTGGACCACATGAGTGGCAAATTTTAGAGAAGATCTCACTTATCGAGGTAGGGGGAATTATTGTTACTAAAGTTCCTGTAATTGTCTCTATGAGTCTAGATTGTAGTAGAATTTTGAGCTGACGGTTTGTTTTTGCACAAAGAGGGTTTATCCTTGCAGCAGTTTCTGGAGTACCTTCTCTTGCCGGCACAAAGAGTTCAAAGGAGTATCAAATGGAAATGCAACAAAAGAAATAAAACTGCACTTATTGGCTCCATTGGGTAGAGACCTAGTTATTGCCTGTGGTGAACTTGATGGAGTTGTGTTGGGTTCATGGATAAATGTCAACGAACAACCAAATGCTCCTGAAGCTGACGATGATAGTACTCATTCTAGCTACTGGAGTGCTGCTGCTGTGTGGTTTGATGCCTGGGATCAGAGAGTTGTTGATTGTGTAAGTAACTTTAATTGTTGCTTCCAGAAAATTGCTGTTTATTGAAAGGGGTGTCAAATGGGCGGGTTGGGTCAAAATTTGGACCACTGAAAGTGGGTTGAGTCATTCATCCTGTCCAAACTATGCTTGAGTGAAGATGGGTTGGGTCAACTTGGGCTAAATAATTGGTCATAACCTTAGCTGCCCAACTCAAAACCATCTTCTTTGCTTGTTTATTCGTCTTTTAATTTGTTTAATTACCAAATCAAACTAAAGCATCTTTTCTTTATTGACAGAAAAAGTGGATTAAATTGTAGAGACACTTCTTTTCTACTTTCTACTGAAGCTTTGTTTTGGGTAAATTTGGGCTACCAAGTTGCAAGTTGACCCAAATTTTTAAAGGGATTAATTTGGGTTGTCCCCGAATTGAGTTTCATGAATTCCTGACTCAACCCACCCATGTTTCAGTGGATTGGGCGGGTGTATATTATATAGGTCAAATTTAACACCCCTATTTATGGGACAATAAGTGGGCGTTTGGACATAAGAATTGTAAAATTCCAAAAAAGGGTGAATTTTTTTTTTCAAGTGAATATAATATTTGAAATTTAGAGTTGTGTTTGGACATGAATATAATTTTGGGTTGTTTTTGAAGTTTTGTGAGTGAAAATTTTGAAAAATAGGTTTTTTCCAAACGGGCTCTAATTTTAAATTATCTGCCATAACTCTTCCTCTCTGTGATTGTTATGTTATGATTCACCTCGTGTGAAAGTATAAACATAAGCTGTTAAGAAAAGAATGGAAATATCTAATCTATTAGGTCCTAGAAACTGCCCTTAATGTTAAGGCTAGATTGTTTTGGATGTACCTTGTGCTTAGAATGTGGTAACAATTGGTAATGGTGGGACTTGTATTCAGCACCTTGGCTAGCCCTGTTATCTTGTTAAATTATGTGGCTACACTTTTATTTAAAACCTTAAGTTATTAGTTAATTAGGGAAGAGGGTTTTCATTAATTAGGTTTTCTACGAAATTCTTGAGTATGTGTATATTGCATGTTTTTGTGTGTGTGTGTATATTATATCTTCTTTTTTCTATTTTGAATTTTGGAGAGTGGAAAAAGTTGAGACTTGAGAGGACTTAGGCTACTGGACATGCAATTCTTAAGTTGGATGTTTCCCTTAACTGGTACTTGAATCCGAGCATTTATGCTGAGATTGAAGACCCTTAATTATAGACAATCACTTCTACAGGTTTTCTCGCTGTCCCTGGTGATACTACTCAAAAGTCAGAGCCACAAGCTTGTTTTTCATTGTTATTTATGATCTTTTAGCTATACTCCTTTTCCTCTAAGTCTCTCATTTGCACTTCTCTTTGACTTGATGACAGATCAATGATGTGGATGCCTTTCAATGCTCGCCTTTTACCAGATCATTGCTTGATATATAATCATTTAAGTGACTTGTTTTTACATTCCTCGAAATGTGCACTTGTTAGCAATTTAGTTCACTGGCCAATCTAGGTAGCAGTTCTCCACATTCCAAGTGCTTTCTGCACCTAGCAAAGTCTTGTAATTTAAGTTAATGTACTCCTACTTGTCAAACTAATTAATTAACATGATGATTCATTTATGAGAAAGAAGCTAGATTTGCTACACATAAATATGAAATAGAAAACTTTGGAACAAAGATTGTACTCATACCACGGTCATAGAATTTAAATATTCAGTTTAAGTTTTTGTATAGTTTTAAAAATCTAATACTGCTACCTTGAAACAGAACTCTAATTTGCTCTTTGTGTTTTCCATTTAGCATGTTATTTTCTTTGAAAACACATCTTGATTCAAATGAATTGTCATAATCACGAGTTAGCTACTCTTTACTGGCAGAATTTTGACATTTACTAATTGGATCCTTTCATTCGAAGGACACTGCACCTTTGTCTGTTCGATTAACAGTTTGTCAACTTCTTATTGTTATTTTTAAAGAACGACGAGCATTAAAAAGATGAATCAACTAATCTCAGTCATCCCAAGCACTCTTTGCTGGCCAGGAACCAGAGCCAAAGGGTCCCAACGCAGGAAGCTACTCCTCTTCCGCAGCTCTATCCTTAACGGCTCGGAAAATGAAGCTTGAATATTATAGAATCAGATTGTTTTTCTTTTATTTTGATCATTTCTTTGATCCTGTTGATTGTATCATATCCGTTTTCTATTTTCATTATTCCATCTTGAGTTTAGGTGATCTTAGTGTTCAGTAAAACCTCTTTGCTGGCAATAAACATAATCTTATTTGCTGACAGATAGTGCTGGATCAACCTTTCCTTATGGGGGTCAATGTTTTATGGGAGTCACAACTTGATTACCACATTCGCCATAGTGACTGGTTGGATGTTTCAAGACTTTTAGAGGTAATTCCATCATATGCATTAACCAGTGGAAGCCTCAGTGTCAGTTTGGATGGTGTACGCTCTTCACCAGTTGACGAATATCTTCAGAAACCTCATGACTGTGGCAGTTACATATATTCTCTTGAAGAGGTGGATGCTGTTTGCATGAATGTACCGAGTGTCCAAATTTTCAGGTTTTCTGCGTACAGCATGTGCTCCACGTGGTTGCTAATGTTTATGGAGCGAGAACTTGCTAAGAAATTTATTTTTCTGAAGGATTACTGGGGAGCTACTGCTGATATTGTAGCTCTTCTGGCACAGTCAGGTTTTATTCGTGATGTGCATAAGTCTTTACCGATGGATGAGCTGGCTGAGAGCTGGTCAGACTCTGTACTAGATATTAGTGATGCTAGAACTCATCCACATTCAATCGAAGCATTTCATAAGGTTATTGTTCACTACTGTTCACAGCACAACTTGCTGAATTTTCTGGATCTTTACCTTGAGCACCACAAATTGGCTTTAAATCATGAATCAGTTTCCTGGATGCAGGATGCAACAGTGAGTAAACTTATCATTGTGTAATAATATTTTGCTTTTGTTTCGGTATCATGTGTGAATTTTCTTTTATGTGAAAACCATGGAGTTTCGATCTTATTATTGGTTGTTACTTAGCCATAATGGAGACCCATGTTCATTGATGGTTTCTGCTTTTGAAAAGCTGAAGTGTCAAAACTGACTGTTGGAACCATGTAATAGGTGATGGTCGCTTCTGTATTTGTATATTTTTATGATAACTGTTGTTAATAGTATTTAGGTTTAGTGCAATTTTAGTTGGAATAATGTCAAAACATAATGTTAATCAAGGCTTTCCTTTATTCGTGGCTGTCAAAAGACTTAATTTTCATCAAGTTACAACAATTGATTAGCCTCCTCATTAATATGATCAAATTCAGGGACTTAGACAGTAAGATAACTGGGAACAAAAAGCTGCTTGTTTTTTATATAAATTGTCATTTCAAAATGTCCACCGAAAACCTGGAAGGGAAAATGCTACTGGTAGATTCTGTAGATTGCTACTGGTATAATTGTCTTCTTTTTGCAAGCAAAGCCAAAATTATTCTTTATTAATCTTGTTTCATTCATGATCATTTTGTCTGAGAAAATGTTTCTTGATACTCCTTCCTTTTAGGTACTTATAATTGATATACTAGCTTGTTAATAGCATGTGTACTTGCTTTCTTCATTTTTAAGATTACAGTCCTTATACAGGTTTTTCGGTGGACATATTGAAATGACAATTTATATATAAGTGTTTACTCCAACCAATTTATATAGTCTCTAAACACTTTATATAAATTGTCATTTCAAAATTGTTCTCTCCAAATCAATAGCTCAAGTGCAGCAGCCACAGTAGGGAAAACTTCAAGGGCACACCCTTAGTGAATTACTCCAGTAAGGGACTCCTGTGGGAGGTGCATGCATCAGAATGTGTCAAATGACAAGCCTTTCTCTTTTATTTTTCCTACCCTGGGAAGCTGGAAGTTTTTGAAAGAAATTTGGGCCTTCAACTTCCCAGCAATCCAGACGGCCTTAGATTCTTCTTTTGTGTAGATCTCATTTTTCATTTCATTAGAGCTCTCGTTTTTGTTTACTTTTTCCTTTGACCTGTTTGTGGATAAGGGAAATCTGCAGTGGTTAGCCTTTCTCTTTTCTTTTGTTTTTGGTTGACATCTAAGTCTTGATTTTGTCACACACAGTATATCTGAAAATCATTTTGTAGTTCTCCAGCTCTCACAGAAAAACTTGGTTCATTACTCCCAGGTGGCTTTTATTAGGTTAGCTGTATGCTAGTATAAGCCTCCATGGACCTTAGTACAGTCCTTCAGGGTGCAACTGATCAGAGAACTTCATTATTCCCCACTATGTTGTATATAAATTATGTCTATATGAAAATACTAGTGGGAGATCAAACAAGAAATTGGTCTGAAGTTCATTTGACTAGCAGACGCCTAGTTACGTTTCGATGCAACTTGCCTTTGCATCTTGCTCCCCTGAGGCCTTTTATGCCCTTTCATCCCGGAAAGCTTTTTATTATGCATCGTCTCTAGTTGCTGATTTCCTTTAAAAAGATCTATTGGTTTATAGTGCTATATATTTTCCTTGTGAACTATCTTTTTGTGCGTTTTGACAGCCCAATTCACTATCCTTTTGGTTTTCCTTCTATATGATCACCAGGGAGATAACCAATGGGCAAAATGGTTGCTCTTACAAAGGGTCAAGGGAAAAGAGTATGAAGCGTCATTCTCTAATGCCCGCGCTGTTGTATCCCATAATTTGGTTGCTGGTAACAGTTTCAGCACTATGGAGATAGAAGACATAATACATACTGTTGATGACATTGCGGAAGGAGCAGGAGAAATGACAGCTTTAGCCACATTGATGTATGCTCCAATTCCGATTCAAGATTGCTTGAGCAGTGGTAGTGTTAACAGGCTCTATAGTTCTGCACAGTGTACATTGGAGAATCTTAGGCCATTCCTCCAGCGCTTCCCTACTTTGTGGCGTGCTCTAACTGCGGCATGTTTTGGACAAGATCCAACTTGCAGCATTATAAGTCCTAAACCGAAATGTGAGTAGCTACTTCACTCCTAAATCTGCTGGCTGCCTGGAAGGACCTCAAACAGTTCTCCAATGATGGCAGTTTAAGTGTTATCACATAGGCCTAACCAAAGTTGCGCCTTTTTCTGATTATGACCTTTTCCTTGTTAACTATGTGTCTTCTGCAGTATTTGGGTATTCTGATTTATTAGACTATTTGAATTGGCGCGAGAGTGTGTTCTTCTCTTCGGCACATGATACTTCACTCTCACAGATGCTTCCGTGCTGGTTCCCTAAGACTGTCCGGAGATTAATTCAGCTTTATGTACAGGTTGCCTATGATCATTCAATCGTGGTTTAACTTAATTCCTTGCTCTTTCTTAAGATTTCATGGGATGGAAATTGCACTGTAGGATCTCCAACGACTTTACACTATGGAGATACTAGTCTATCTTTGGCAGTTACTAAGTTAACTATAACCAACTCTAACGATCAAATTCTTAATGTGTGTCCATTCATGCGTGGTTGTGATCATGTTCTTTCTGTATTGGCAGGGCCCACTTGGTTGGCAATCAATTGCAGATTTGCCGGTGGGTGATCCCTCTCTTCTGAGGGACATTGTTCCTTCGGACATCAGCCCCTTGTCCTGGGAAGTTGCCATCCAGAAACACATTGAGGAGGAGCTGTATGATTCTTCATTAAAGGTAAGCAATGATTCTGTGATCATTTACTAATGTCAAGCTTTGAGATACTGTCTTTTCACGTCTCGTTTCCTTATCTAAAATTGCGGTTGTTGAAGACATAATTAAGTAAATAAAAGTGTGCTTTCTCTAATAGCTTAAGCTTTTAGTTGAGATGATCCCATTCTTCAACATGATACTAGATCAGGTAGAATTCATGGATTTAAGTCTCGCAGCCACCTATATTCAAAAAGAATTTTCACGTGCTTGGTCCGTAAAAAAAAAGCAGGCCTGCATGCAAGGAGATGCGTGGAAGAGATAATTAAGTAAATATAAGTATGCTTGCTCTAACAGCTTAAGCTTTCAGATGAAATGGTCACACTCAAAGGCCTGTTTGAGGCATGCTTAATCCTTGATGCAACTCAAGCTAGTTGTTGTGTGTCGCTTAACTGGCCATTTAGTGCGGGCACTACGCTCACCTCAATGTCTACGGGCTCTATCTTAAAGGGAGACAACGCTAAACAATAAAGATAGAAAACAAATCGATTTATTAATTTATGAGGAAACTTTATGGATGAATTTAGTAGTAATTATGGTGTGAAATTTGAATTTTGTAAAAATTAATCACTAATCTGAGTTAGAAATTTAAAATAGTTTTTTCTTTATCAAGAAATTTAAAATGGGTTTTGAACTTGCCGATATGGTTATTATTTATGTTGTAATTAATTTCGATGTTTTAAAGCTTTGTCCATGTGAGAAACTCGGAAAATTATATTATTGATATTAATTGTAATACAATGAACCGTATTTATAAGTACACATAATATATAACCTACTCCTATTACATACGGGACTTGGTATATTCACAAAGCTATTCTAACACTCCCCTCAAGCTGGTGCATTCAAATCATATGTACCGAGCTTGTTACATATATAACTAATACGAGGACTGGTGAGGGATTTGGTGAAAATATCTGCAAGCTGATCATTCGACTTCACAAACTTTGTAGTAATATCTCCTGAGAGTATCTTTTCTCTGACGAAGTGATAGTCAATCTCAATATGTTTAGTTCTCTCATGTAACACCGGATTCAATGCAATATGAAGAGCAGCTTGATTATCACATACAAGTTTCATTTGGCTGATCTCACCAAATTTCAACTCTTTGAGCAACTGTTTGATCCAAACTAGCTCACATGTTGCTATAGCCATTGCTCGATATTCTGCTTCTGCACTAGACCGAGCAACGACATTCTGTTTCTTGCTCTTCCAAGGCACCAAGTTACCTTCTACTAAAACACAATATCCAGACGTAGAACGTCTATCAGAAGGTGATCCTGCCCAATCAACATCTGAGTATCCACGATCTGCTCATGGCCTCGATCCTCAAATAATAGTCCTTTGTCTGGAGCTGATTTTATATACCGAAGAATGCGAACAACTGTATCCCAATGACTATCACAGGGAGAATCCATAAACTGACTTACAACACTCACAGGAAAGGAAATGTAAGGTCTAGTCACTGTGAGGTAATTTTATTTACCAACCAGCTACCTATATCTTGCAGGATCGCTAAGCGGCTCCCCCTGCGCTGGCAGAAGTTCAGAATTCGGATCCATAGGAGTGTCAACAGGTCTACAGCCTATCATTCCTGTCTCTTCAAGAATGTCTAAGGCATACTTCCGTTGTGAGATCACAATACCTGAGCTAGGCTGAGCGACCTCAATACCTAAAAAATACTTTAATTTGCCCAGATCCTTAGTCTGAAAGTGCTGAAAGAGATGTTGCTTCAACTTAGTAATATCATCCTGATCATTGTCGGTGATAACAATATCATCAACATAAACCACCAGATAAATACAGAGATTTGAAGCAGAATGCAGATAAAACATAGAGTGATCAACTTCACTACGAGTCATGCTAACCTTCTGAATAACTGTGCTGAACTTACCAAAGCAAGCTCGAGGAGATTGCTTTAGACCATAGAGGGACTGGCACAACCAACACACAAGGCCACTGGACTCCCCCTGAGCAACAAAACCAGGTGGTTGCTCCATATAAACCTCTTCCTCAAGGTCACCGTAAAGAAAAGCATTCTTAATGTCCAACTGATAGAGAGGCCAATGGCGAACAACAGCCATAGATAGAAAAAGGCAGACTGATGCTATTTTAGCCACAGGAGAGAAAGTATCACTGTAATCAAGCCCAAATATCTGAGTATACCCTTTGGCAACAAGACGAGCCTTAAGTCGATCAACCTGGCCATTTGGACCAACTTTGACTGCATACACTCAGCGACAACTAACAGTCGATTTACCTGAAGGAAGAGGAACAAGCTCCCAAGTACCACTCGTATGTAAAGCAGACATCTCGTCAATCATAGCTTGTCGCCATCCTAGATGAGACAGTGCTTCACCTGTAGACTTAGGGATGGAAATAGAGGACAAAGATGATACAAATGCACAATGGGGTAATGATAGACGATGATATTTTAAACCGACATAATGGGGATTAGGATTAAGTGTAGACCGTATTCCTTTCCGTTGTGCAATCGGTTGACTAAGAGAAGACAAGTCCGCAGTATTAGCAGGGTCAGGTGCAGGACGTGAATCAGATAGGCCTGATGCTGGGCGTGAACGACGATGATAAGTCAGAAGTGGTGGAGCTGCAGAAGGTTGCACTGGGCTAGGTGGTGGAGCTGCAGAAGGTTGAACTGGACTAGGTGGTGGAACTGGAGCTATAGGTGGTGGAGCTGCAACTGGAGCTGTAGGTGGTGGAGCTGGAGTTGTAGAGGAAGATGAATGGGAGATAGTGACTGAATCTCCAAAAGATGGAATTGGTAGCACCTCAGAAACATCTAAGTGATTACCTGGACCTGTGAAGTATGATTGAGTTTCAAAGAAGGTAACATCAGCGGACATAAGGTACCGTTAGAGGTCAGGAGAATAGCATCGATACCCTTTTTGCGTTCTCGAGTAACCCCAGAAATACGCATTTAAGAGCACAAGGAGCTAACTTATCTTTTCCTGGAGTAAGGTTATGAACAAAACACGTGCTCCCAAAGACACGGGGTGGAAGAGAGAACAAAGGTAAGTGGGGAAACATGACAAAGAATGGAACTTGATTCTGGATAGCTGAAGATGGCATACGATTAATAAGATAGCAAGATGTAAGAACTGCATCCCCCCAAAAACGCAACGGAACATGAGACTATATGAGTATGGTACGAGCAGCTTCAATAAGATGTCTATTCTTTCTTTCAGCTACCCCATTTTATTGAGGTGTGTACGGACAAGATGTTTGATGAATAATTCCATGAGAGTTCATAAACTGCTGAAATGAAGAAGACAAATACTCTAGGGCATTATCACTACGAAATGTGCGGATAGAAACCCCAAATTGATTTTGAATCTCAGCGTGGAAGGTCTGGAAAATAGAAAACAACTCAGATCGATTTTTCATCAAAAATATCCAAGTGCACATGGAATAAGCATCAATGAAACTGACAAAGTAGCGGAATCCCAAAGTAGAACTGACCCGACTAGGACCCCAAACATCTGAATGGACAAGTGAGATAAACCAGGTACCATTTTCTGAAGTTTTGACGAACTGGGATGTCCCAACCGTTTATGTAATAAATTCGGTGAATCAGTAACAAGACAAGTTGTTGAAGGAAGACAAGATGTGAGTCCATGTGATTTTGCAAGGATAAGGTAATAAAGTTCATCTGATTCAAGCCTGGTACCAATAATCCGCCTTGTACTACGTTCCTGTATAAAAACAAGGTCATCAAGACATAAAACACAGCATTTAAGTGATTTAGCTAAGCGACTAACAACTATGAGATTAAAGGGACTACCGGGAACATAAAGAACCGAATCTAAAGGTAAGGAAGGTAGTGGACTTGCTTGACCTATTCCAGCTGCCCTGGTTTGAGACCCGTTGGAGAGATTGAGAACATGAAATAGTAGAAAGAGATTTGTTACCAGAAATATGATCAGATGCACTTGAATCAATGACCCAAGACTCAGAGGTGGAAGATTGGGAGACACAAGTCACGCTACTATCTGTTTGAACAACGGAAGCTATCCCTGAAGATGTCTGTTTACTTGCTTTGTATTGAAGGAGCTCAATATAATCCGGTAAAGAAACCATCTGGATTGCATTGGATCCAACAGATTGTGAGTCAAAGGCTTCTGATACGAATGCCATTATAATGTTTACGCCGGAAAAGCAATTTTTTTGGGAATTACTGATCACGCCGGAAAAATATAAAAGTGGTCGGAATTTGATTTGAATTAGATGGGTAGGCTCGAAATTGTGAGGAGAGCAGACTGTCCTGAAGAAGTTTTGCGAAAGTGGCCGGAATCTGCAAATAGTCGCTGGAAAATACAAAAAGTTGTCGGAATTTGGTGTAACTTGGACTAATAGGCGCGGAATCACCTCGCGAGCCAACTGTCCAAAAGGAGTTTCGCCAAAAACTGGCCGGAAAAGGGTTCATGCGCCGGCGCGTGTGACTGACGCGTCGCCGGCGCCGGAGGTTCTAGTCGCGCATGACGGCACGTTATAGGTCTTCTGCCGGTTTGGTTTCTTGGGCTTTGGTCGCCGGAGCCTTCCGAGTATGTTAGTGGTGTTGGTTTTAGCACAATACACACCAACGAGGAGGTGACACGATCAGATCTGGAAAAAAGTCGTCGGAAGTTGATGCACGACTACTGTCCGACCTTTCCGGAATTTTTCACGGGTGCTCTGATACCATGTGAGAATTAATAACTCGGAAAATTATATTATTGATATTAATTGTAATACAATGAACCCTATTTATAATTACACATTATATATAACCTAATCCTATTACATACAGAACTTGAACTAATTACATATATTCACAAGGCTATTCTAACAGTCCATATAATTATTGTTAGTTTTGGGAATATTATGTATGTATATTGTTTAGAATCAACAACGGAGATATTGTTGTATAAGAACAAAGATGATATCCAGAATTGTAACAACTATAGGAG